TCTGACACAGATGGGCGGGTGTACAAGAATGTGCATGCAGCCTGCATACATTATGCAAATACAAATGTGTGCCAATGCGTACATGTACATTTTTCAAGTATGCACTTTAGTACACACAATACACACATTTCACACAGAACTGTAGGAATCAAAGGTATTTTAAAAGGCATTTTATAAGATTATCTACTGTATTTTTTGTTCAAGAAATGCTCCTTTTAAAGTATATCGGCTTCACTTTGGAAGACAATGTGTCTCTTTGGTTGTAGCATATGTTCACTAAATGTGCTTTGTTTCAGCCACTTGAGCACAATATACTCATAAAAGTTGTATATTGAGCACTTTGGCAGAGATATGTATCCATCCAGAAACCTCTCTGCTGTCTTTTCCATTCCCCTGTTGTTTGTGCTTTCAGTGGCTCCTCTGAGTTAGTGAGTGAAATGAGCAGCCTCAACAAGGCCTCGGGGAGACCGAGAAAATCAGCACTCACACAAACAGTAGCACTTGGATGGATTCTCTCCGCTCTCCATGAACCGAGTCTGTCGAGAAAAGAGTTACTTCCTTGACCGGGTGGCTGTCCCGTCGCTCCGTCTGACCATCTGTGTCGCTGCTCAGCCTCAAAAAGCCAATCCAGTCCAGCTTGTTTCACATTCTCTCTTTTTTTTTTTTTTTTTTTTCATGCGCTGACATTTTTATCCTCCTATTAAAACTTTTAAGGGCCCATTATCTAAGAGGAAGGAATGCTGCTTTAATGGTGTGGTGGCTCCATGCTTAGGCCCCTTCTTTTCAGTTTGCAACCAACCAACCACCACCAGCTAGCTGCTTAATGTTCTCCAGCCAGCGCAGAGCAAAAGAGGGGACCGTCTCCCCTCTGAGACGAATGACATTAGCTCAGCGCGGACCATGAGCCCTCCTTTCACTGCCCCGAGCACTCAGAGCAGACTATAAACCCTTGGCATGCCTTCCACTACTTCAGCCCCATTGTTTCACTCTCTCCACTACATGGTTTTCAGGTTTAAGAGAGCTTGCAGCGCTGCGGTGAAGGACTTGTGGCCTCCTTGCATCTTTTGTTCGAGGATCATAGGTTTCGGCATCTTGGCGAGAATACCCATGTTAACTTTTCTTCTTTTGCATAGTTTCCTAATGTCAAGTAAAAGCACATACCCTATGGTGCAAAGTTTACTGTTATTAGCTTCTTCTTAAGTCATACATAGCCTGAAGCTTCTTGAAGTTTAGAATACAACTTTTTTTTTTGTTCATGAACGAGATGTTTTAATGTCAGGGAATGTCTCAGTAGATATCTTAAAGTGCAGTGAGAGCTGCTTTGGTTTTGAGAGTTTCAACAAAACGGCTTCTTCATTTGTCGCTTATTATCTTAGAATTTAAAATGGCATGCCATTGATTCAACGAGTGGTTTCTGCTGCAGTCTGCACACAGTTATCTGTTTAAACTCACCTGACCAGGAGTGGATCCACATATACCTTTTCTTTTTAATTGGTGTTTTCCTCACCTGTTGTTCTTTCAGAAAACAACACTTAGTGTAATGTCCTGCAGGCGATGTAGCTGCTCTCTCTCATTAAGTGACTGACTCAATGACGGACAAAAAAATGGATTCTGCTTCAAAAATCGAAAAATAATTTACTGCTTTCACCCCAAGGATCATTGTTTTCTTTGATTTGATTTGTGCTTAAAAAGTTATGCTCTGGATATTTAACATTTAGTTCTTCAATACACCCGTGGCGTTTTCAATTAAATTTCTTTTTTTTTTTTGTTGAATTCATTTTTTTTTCATATGCATTTAAAGATGCAGGGTTCAGTCCATGCAATGAGATGCATTTATATCCAGACACCCTCTCACCCCTGGAACCAATAGAAATACATATAATACATAAATTACATTTAAAGGATAAAAGACGACAATGAAACATTCAAATCAAACATATTTCTAATGAATGAAATATAGGAGCCACACTGAGACTAAGTGCTATTGTTCAGTAGTCTGACTGTCTGGGGATACAAACTGTCCTTAAGGCCGTTAGTTCTTCCAATCCACTGATTGATGAAGAAAATACATTTACAGCCAAATAGAAACATTTTAGTATTTTCATGTGAGAGATGTTTTTCTCTCTGTCTGTAGTGCACATGGCTTCATCAGAGATGATGTCACATATCTCTGTGCATCATTCAGACTGCCTACACATTTGAATCACAATCTGTAATCTGATAAGTATCTTTTTTTTTTTTGCCAAGAGGTTGATGCAATAATCAATAAACAATAAAACAATAAAAAAAATGTGTTTCTAGTTATTACTTCACAGTTGTATTAGATTAAAACAAGACGGCATGCTGAACTACGCAAGCCGGCTGTCGGTGATTATCTAGCGGAGAAATATTTGAGAAGGCTTACTGAAGAAAGAAATAAAGCACGTGTTTCAAAATGTGAAACTTTTCCTTTGACATACATCATTCTCAAACCAAGAGAAAAGACAGATTTGTTACTTCTGGCTGTAGAAAACTGTTGTTGTCGGATACAGAGGTCACTCCCCGTCTGAAGGGGATAGAGCATGTGTCTCCTTTGCAGAGGGAACACTCCCCCACTTGTTTTCTTGTTTAATTGTAGTGTTTTCTTTTGACCACATGTGCAGTAGTTCTGATGACGCCCGTCTGTATTAAAGCCATATTCACTCTTGTTAAACCCTTGGTAGCTAAGACTCCACCCGTTGAACTCCTGTTCTCTTCCTATAAAGTGTTCTGTGATAGTTTTTATGTATTATTTTCATAACGGGTTATGTTTTATGGGTCAGCAGTTTGTTTTAGCAAATCACGGCACATATGATCTATCGTTTTTAAAGAATGTCTCTCCTTAACTTTCCCATCCACCTCTCTTATGGGAGGACGTTTTTCTTTCTGCGGCCCATCATTCAGTAATGATAAAAAACTGGAGCCAGTTAGAGAGAACAGCACATGGTGGCTGATAGTTCGGCTTCGGCCCGGAGAAAAGGGCCATTGTGTCAACACTTTAGCTTTTATTGGTCCACTGAGAGACGAAGGCCCAGGTTTTGGCACGACATGTTATTGATGGATTGGTCTGCAGCATTTGGGATGTGGGGCTGCATAAAAATAAAAGGGGGAGTGAAGTGAGTTTTGGGATGCATAATACAACCTTAGGAAGTAATCTTGAGCCCGTTGGGGTTTCTTAGTTGGAAATTCAATCCTCTGTTAAGTTCATAGACGTCTGTTTCTTGCTCTGGCGCCCTCCATGGACACAAAGTGAAGGAAAGGGACCATTGAATTCCACCTCCTACTTAAAAATCCACATGACTCGCTGTGAAATTTGCAGCACTTTACAGCTTCTGCTCTGCTGCCGCTCATTCATGGTCACTTCACTCAGTCCTGCCGTGCCGTGCCGTGCCTTTTTTTTTTTCTTTTTTCTTTTCCTCTTTCTTGCCTTCGGAGCAGAAGCGCTGGCCATGTTTGTTCAGCGCTAAGCCTTTGTGTGGCGGGGATGGCTACCGCTGCAGTTAGCGTCGGATTGCTCGTCCTGTCGGCATGAACGACAGGCGCTTGGGCAGGAAAGTCTGAGAGGATTGTGTGACCTTGTGACACTTGCTGACAGACTTAAAGTGATGGAAAGTATTTAACCAGGAGGTCAGAATTGTCTGTCAAACTGGCGTTGTCAGCTCCTTGAAGAAAAGACAACTCAAAATAGATTTCTGCCCTGAGTGAAAAAAGAAAATACATAGGAGGCAGGTTGAGTTCTTGGCAAAACATGTGGAAAACAAGAGGGCACAGTTAGGGGAGGCTCTGATGGAGGTAATTACAGCACATGATGAATAAGTAATTAAAGATAGAATAATGTGAAAACACAGTTTCTGTCAGGCTGAGATTTGTTCTCCCTATAGAAGCCCTAAAGGCAGGAAGATAGGAAACATACGACAGCACTCGGTTGTCAAGACTCGCACACTACATCTTGACTTCAGGGAAAGAGTAGGCAAGGTTATAAGAGCTTTACTATGTGTCGACATTCCCACACACATATGCAAATGGTTAAATTTATTGCACAAAAAAAAAAGTTGGCTAATTAAGAAAGCTAGACCTCTAAACACCCTTCAGTTCGACGGCAGATTTAATGAGACGTTAATGGAGACGTCTTCGTGCTCACTTGCCTCCCTGTTCACCAGAAGAGAAGGAAGAGGAGAGAGATGTGTTTGGTTTTTAATGAGCCGGAGAGCATGGGGGTTTGTCACTTCGTCTGCAGCCGCGGCAAGGTTTCACAACGAACAAGTCAAATATCAGCAAAAGCAGAGGTTTTATTACAGTGCCGCTGAGCAAAGCAGAGGGGGCACTGCGTCCGTTTTTTTCGTGCAATAATTCACAACACTCGTGGGACTGCATGCTAGGTGTTTGTTCTGCCTCTTCATCAAGCATTTATACATCACACAGAAATTATGCATATTTGCCTGCCATGTTCGGTGAAACTTTTAATTATGAAAGGCTTTTTTTTCTTCTTTCAAATATATCTTCATTTTGTGCATGAACCTTGATGACTCATGAAAATGCCTCCTTTTAAACTGCAGCTGAGTTTTGTTCTCAGAGTTCCTCCTTGCTTTCTTTTCTTTTCTTTATGGGGGATTACCTCAATTAAAATTACAGGTCTAAGGGATCAGCTCCTGCTGGGAGTTTTATCCTTTTTGTCGGCAGCCTCCTTTTCTTTTTTTGTTTTATAGCCTGAGCATAGAGTGAGCATGTTCAAACAAGTGCTCAAATCTTTGTTAAGGGGTACTGGGCATGTCAGTCACCAGCAGTAGGCATAGATGTGACTCAGGGTCAGGATGCGTGACAGGCATTTGAACATTTTGAATCATCTCACCAGCTCTGTGATATCTACTCTAACCCTTTTTTTTTTTTTTACTGAATGGGTCTTTATTTTAAGGAACGTGTGTGATCTGTGCAGCAGTTTAAGAGATAAACCTTCTCTCCTGATGTCGCTGCTTTCTTCACAGTGCAACTCGACAGCGCAAAGGAGGGACCCACCTGCATGGACAAGAATCACGGCTGTGCTCACATCTGCAGAGAAACACAGAAGGGTGGCATCTCCTGCGAGTGTCGACCTGGATTCCAGCTCACCCGTAACATGAAGGACTGCAAATGTAAGTCATGTCAACCTCAAGCATGGTTCCCCCCCTCTGTAAAAGACACATTTACACACGCACACACACACACGCACACACACAACCAGGGACACAACAAATAGGAAGACTTATAGGCTCCTCATAAAAGGTTATCAGGGGCAAAACCTGCCAATGATGGATAATTACACTCATTCCACAAATACCTTCCAACAGATCTGAAGCAGCAACCTGACATTTACGTTACACTACAAGGCCGTGACTAATCTCCTGAACAGTCCTCGTAAAGAAAAACATGTTTATCAAACAAGGAGCGATCATTTACACAACCAGGGCAAGTGTGGAGGTTACTCGAAGGGGACCGCTCTGATGGACAGCGCACACTTCCTGTTGCCGTGCAACCGAGATCATCCTGTCAGAGCTGGGGCCAGGGCTGATGGGGATTTGTCTGTGTTTGGATAAGGATTGGAGAAGTGTTATTCTATAGTTTTTCTGTGACAGCCCAGGAAAAGGGCAAAAAGGCGCAGGGATGGTAGGGTGCAGACAGGATGGCGGTGGACGGATCGTGCTCTTTTACACTCTGTCATCACAGGTGTGTTAAAAGAGGTTAATGCTCACTTCGCCCGCCAGCACATACATTTGTTTGCACTGAAAGACACACACATGAACACACAAGAACCCCACACTACCAACCTTTTATGTTTAACAGGCAAGTGTTTTGGGCTGTTTATATGAGAAATTATTGTAGAAAATGATTCAGTTTTTGCTCCATTCTGCAGAATAAAAAAAAAAAAGCATAGTAATTAATTCTGTAGCTCGTAGGTTCCTCTCTTATCCAGATGAACTTACAGTAAGTGAGTGAGCTCAGCCTCTCACTTCAGGCTAAAGACAGTTTCAAAATATGACCTCTCACTTCCTCTAGGTAGTAATGAATAAATTAATTTGATTAGCTCTTATAGGCCAGTTGAAGTGGTGAAAATGTAAATTTCGTCATGCCCTTCTTACAATGTTACAAGGTCAGCAGACGATTTTCATCCCTTTGTGACAAGGTGAAAAAAAAAAACCGGCTTCATGACCAATCAGACAGAGGTGCACATACAGTACGAACACAGGGTGTCAGCACATCCATATCCTCATCATTATTAATATCCTAATCAACATCAACAACATTATTTATATCATCGTCGTCAATATAATTTCGTAGACTGGGTTCATAAAAGGATCTGTAGCTTTTTCTTCAAGGTGGAAAGTGATTCTGCGGATCCAATAGTTTGATAACTCATTTCACCAGCGAGGGACTGCACAGGAGAAACAATATCGGCACAGAATATGACCGTTGACCCATTAAGCACATTTTTGCAGTCGGAACAGTCATTTGAACGACACATTGGGATGCATCTGCAGCAATGTGGGACGATTTTTTTTTTAAGCAGTTTTTATTTTTTTCTCATGTGACATGACTTAGGGCATTTCATCTTTTTGAAAAGCTCTGCAAGCTCTATGAAAGACGATGTGATAAAGCCTGAATTAAGCCTGAAACATTTACTTCCAATGATTTGGAGGAGGAGTGAGTATCAACCTGGGCATTTTAAAGCTTCCAGCCTGGTCCTTTATTCTTGACAACTCTTGACAACAGAAAATGCATTTAAATTCTGGAGGATGTGAAATACCCTGTGTGTCATGTTTGTATTAACTACCGGCATGTGCTCTTCGATAGTGACGTGTAACTACGGTAACGGGGGTTGCCAGCATATCTGCGAGGAGACAGACCATGGCCCCAAGTGTTCGTGCCACATGAAGTTCGTCCTGCACAGCGATGGAAAGACTTGTGTAGGTGAGTCATCTCATCCAGATACCGAGGGCAAAAGAAATAATGGCTTTCCAATGAGAAAATGTAGAACCAACAAATTAACTTGGCGCCCAATTTCCTACAGCCAATTTAATTAATGTTTGAAATGAGTTTTATAGTGATAAAAGTTTGGACCACAGGCCTTGTTACAGTAGCTGAAAGCCTTGAACTGTGACATACAAGGACAAAAGGCTACCGACCATCCACTGTGCTTTCCTCTCTGCTGCTGCTGCTGCTCCAATAACCTCTCAGTTCCTGCACCTGCTTTGGCTTCTCCTCGTCCTTGTCCTCCTCCTCCTCCTCCTCCTCCTCCTCCTCCTCTTCTTCACTGGACACTGTGCATCAGCTCTCCCTGTTCCTCTCCGTCTCTCAGCCGTGCAGTCATTCGCGCACCTCCTATTAAACCCTGGGTCAATTCCTCCGCTGCTTCCTGATGGGGATTTACTCACAAACACCTGACCTAACCTTCCACTGACATTTCTCAGTGTTTGCCTCAGTTGACTTAAGTTGAGTAAAAATCATTCAGCTACCCAACCGCATCGAGCCGTGGTGAAGGGCATCACGTTGGACCTGGAGATGCAATAGAGTCAGAGCTCGGGTCTCAACAGACTGGATTGCGTTTAGCCATGCAGAATTTAACATTTCATCTTTCTCCATGCTAATGATAAGGTTGGTCAAGCGTACATTTTAAACTGACCATTATTGCGAACAGGCCTTTACTTTTTTTATCTGCCTGTTTAATCAGTGTGTCATTTAATAGTACAGAACAAACCCATTAGAACCACTTAAGCATGCACTTTGCTGTGTTGGGAACCTGTTTTTATACTGGAGGCTTCAGTGAGTTGAACAGGACATATTTTCATCGTCAGTTATAGAATTAGAAGCTGAAACTTGCTTGGTTTAAGTGGTTGTTAAGTTTGAGAGTTTGGTTTGGATAGCAGCTGATTAGCTCAGTGTTTCTGGATGCGCTTTATTACCGCAGACCTGATGTGAGCCAGACCTACCTGATGTGAGCCAGACCTGTGTCAAGGTCTGTTCAGTCAACCTGTCATTATTGACGTGCCCTGCTTGGCCAAAGGGATGCCACAAAATTGACCGCAATCAAATTATACGCCTTAGCCCGTCCTGTTCCCGACGCAGGGTAAATGTACATTTGGTGTGCCAGATTAGGAAGCAGTCAGCCACTTAAAACCTCCGATTTCCCCCCTTTAGAGTCTGGGGTTACAGAGGTGGAACGAGGGCTGCTCTGCGGTCGCCACTGGGGCGCTCTGTCTCCCAGACACTCTATTAGTTAATAAAACCTCAATAAAACAAGCAATCTGCCAAATGAAACACTGATGGGGGAGTGAGTGACAGGAATGTTGGAAGACCTTCAGTAAAGGCGCTGCCACTGTGCACCAGGACTGTGAATGCGTCAGGTTTCCAGCATAAGAAAATATTTGATAGTAATTCAAGATGAAACATATCTGTTATTTTTTATGACCCTTAGCTGCACATGTGTACTCTGATTTTACAAGTTGCCCCCAGATTAAAGCAATATTCTAATACCTGCGGTAAAGAAATGTTATAGTTTTGAATTAATATGACTCAACAGCCTAAGCCTGCTTTAAGGAAGACATCTTTATTTCTCTAAAGGCTTTGTAGCAACGGTTTCTCATGGAACCAAGAACTCTGACTCGACTCTTGTTTCACTTTCAAAGAGTCTTAAATGTCACAAACGAGATAAAAATGGCTCGCTGGGTTTCTTGTATTTTTACACACTACCGACACATGAACCAGCATGGGACATGCAGTGATGATTACTTCTCAGTAACCACGTTTGGAATAATTAACGATGTAAGGACTGTACAGGGTATCTATAGCAACCACACGGAGTGAAAATGCATTCCAGTTTAGGCTCGCTATTGATATGGAAACATTTCTGATTCATTGAGTCAGTGGCTTTCTCGTTAGTCTTGTGGGCTCTTTCAACGTGCCGTGGTTTCAATGTTCAAACCATCCTGAGGGTTTTTTTTCAATGCATTCTGTCCTTTTCTTTCATTTGTTGGTGTCTTTCCTCATGTAGGCTGGGTCGTACAATTTGTATTAATACTGCTCTGGTGGTGTTGGTTCTTTATCCTTCCTCTCTTACCTCTGTGGTTACCTTGCAAACTGTCAGCGGGGATTTTCATGTAGTAAGGCTGTTCTAGTTCATTCATGCACACGCACTTCTAGAGATAATCATTCATTTGTAAAGCCAGATTGAAAAAAATGAATCCGGTTTATTTGTGCAAAAATGTCTGTGTATCGAGTACTTTCAGATACCAGAGAGGGGAAGCCATCATGTGGAAGCATTCACGCTGTTAGCACAGCAAATCATAAACATTCACAAATAGCAGGCAGATGCAGACATGCTCAGGAGTTCAATCATCTGAAGAGTTGGCCACACTATGCCCCACACACACACACACACACACACACACACACACACACACACACACACACATACACGTTCACGTACAAAAACATACACACATATGCATGCACACAAAGATAGAGAGCAGGAGATGCCTTTTATTATACAAACAGAAAGCTATACAAACAACCACACAAACATACAGTACATATCCTGCATGCATGCATCACATGCATGTAAACACGAGTAGTCTACATGCATATGACATGACATAAACACACTCTCATTACGGGTGGTCTGTTCATTCATGTTCATGTATTCAGATAAATCTCACAGTCCTCTTGCTCTGGGAATGGTTATTTCTGGAAACTGCATGTTGGTATCAGGAAATGTTGGGCAGTGGCAGTCGATGTAAACTGTGCATGCTCTGTGGTGCTCACTCTTTACTGTCCGTGTTGAACATCTGCTTCCTCATCTAGCACCTAGCATTTAGTAACTACATGCTTTAGTTTCATGGACTGTAACTGAAATAACGTTCTTGTAACTGAAATAGTGCTAGGATTACCATGGTAGTTATTGGTGCAATTAAAAAAAAAGGTCCCATAAAAGGCCTTTTACTTTTTTATTGCTGTGCTAAAAGGCCTAAACTCTTCTCCCAGCCTAGTTCAAATCTTAATGTATGCAATGTCATTTTCTAAATCAATACTCTGGGCAGTAAAAATGGGATTCACTTGACACATTTGGCTTGTAGAGTTTGATGAATTAAAAGCAAATCAATTAAAAGTTATCACTTGACGTAAATGATAAGTAAAAAAAAAATAAGTACGCTAATGCTTCCTGAAAGTTTTTTATAATTGACAGCACTTAAAGTGTAAAGCTCAGCCACCGACAGTGCTTAAAGACTTGACATAACAGCCTAACAGCATTAATTCGGAAATGATCCGAACATTAAAAGGCACCATAAAGCACAGACATGACTCTGGCTGTCTCTGTCTCTCAGCTTGCAGCACTAACCCCCACTCGCTCTGTCTGTCAAGACTCGCAGCGCTCATACTAACTAGCAAAAGCCTCATCTCACAGTACACAAACAACACAACTGCACTTAGTTTGCAATGTGTGGACTGTTAATATGCATGACTGCATGTTGAGAGGTAACACCTTTTCCCTTGAGATGTCACATTTTAAATTTTCAACAAGGACCTATCATCATCAGTTTTTTTAGGCTATGGAAAACAATCGCAGCTGTTTGCTTAGTTGTTACCAGTAAGAGGCTGTTTTTTTGTTTGTTTTGTTTTTCCAAAAACATGATGTCATGCTCGTGTCATTATTTCCTCCTGTGGGCATAAGTGGACATTTGTTTGATTTGCAAGTGAGGATCCCTCCTCATTAATGCAATCCACTCTATTCCAAGCCCACTTATACCTGCCATTAATTTAATTCTAATTGTTCTGAAACAGTATCTTTGCACGTTAGCAGTATGCTAAAGGTGTCTTCTTTTTTTGCAGTTATGTAGAAATAAATAATGTGCACATTAGACACCTTAGATTGCATATAAGAGGTATAAATAGTCCCTTAGCAGAAATGCTTTTAAACTGCACTCAATGTAATGACCAGCCTCTACAGGTTGAAAACAGAAGTTTGATTTTATAAGACCAGATGGGAAAATTGTTTCAAATTCTAGTTTTAAGTATTTTAACACACAGCATAAAATTAATTTTCAGGATTGGGTGGTCAAGGATTTCGAGGATTGTCGCAATTACAGTGAAGTCAACATTAAAGATCACTTTGCCCAAGGCAATGGCTTCCATGTTTGTGTGTATGTCTTTGTAGCCTATCTTTCAGATCCAGTCTTCTGGTGCACACTCTGAGATGACAAATATGTCAAACACATTGACTGTATATAAAGATGGACAACACATCTCCACATCCTCCTGTTGAACAAAAGTGAAGCTAAAATACCCCTTCTACAGGCGCTCATATGGCTCATCTGGAACTAGAGTCTGCATAGTCAGTATTGGTTGGAAGTACTGGGTTATTGCTTTGGCTAATCAAAACAGTTGTGAAAAGTTCACTTACTCATGTTTAAGTTTTCATTACTGTTCCTTAGCTGTTTCACCTCTACTCTGCTAATACAGTGCACACAGCACCACAGGTGTCACAATTGTCATTAGAGATGTCAATCATGGCATTTTACACCTTTTTATTGCATCAAACAATCTATTAAACTTGATTAAACAAGTAATTATGTTTAATTAGTTGGTCATAAATAATTTAAACTAAGATCATTACAAATAATAGGATTTGAACACAAATCCGCTTGATAGTAGGTAGATATCACAACAGAAACTGGGTTTAAGAAACATTTATTTGATGTGTATTTAAGTTTTAAAGTTAGCCCCATGTCCTATATATTATTATACAGCAGGTGGGTTTATGGCCCATACTGCTATAATATAGCTCCAAATCTTTTGGCTTCACTTTGAGGGAGGTGTTGTGTTTTGTTGTCCATCTTCTTATAGTCTATGGTAAAACATGAGGCCTGTAAAGTGTCTACATCCTTTTACATTATGCAGTCTAGTGTTCAGGGACAGGTTGTGCTGTTTGTGGCTATACCAACAGTCAAGCTAAACATAAAAAAGTCAACATAGAGGTAGAGGTGTGTATATATATATATATATATATATAATATCTTAGACTTGAAATTATGTCATTTTTTTCCTCCAGAATCAAAGAGAAAATGGAAGACACCATTAGCATACGGCTAACTTGTGAATGCTGCGTGTACACACAACTAAAGTAGTGTTTTTATAATGTATGTGTGCTTGTGTGTGTGTGGGTGTGCGTGTGCGTGTGCATGCAGGGGAGAGGAGTGTCCAGTCCCAGGCAGCCCCACAGCTGTTCCCCAATGGTAAATATGTGTTCCTCTGACTCCTCTCTCTGGGGGTCTGTGGGTGTGGGGAGTAAAGGAAGCTAACTTGGCATTCACTGATCAGGCCCTTCCCCCTTCCCACAAGGGCATCATCCTTCTGACCCCTGACCACTGACCCCACCCCCTGTCTGCCTCTTCCTTCTGTGAATGCCCTCTCAATAACAACCACTGCCATGTCACACCACACCTTTTGAAAACTCAGCTGAGAACAGGGGGCCTCAGACCAGCAATGCAAACATTATACAAAGAGATGTACTGAATCTGATATGGTATGGGTTTTCTTGTCCAAAATCATCTCCCTTCCTGCAGTCATCTTTAGAGTGATGGATTTCATCTGTAATAATGGTTTAGGTTGGTTGCCACCTCAAATAGTCTCAAAAAAATCTGGATTGCTGTTGTGTGCACTTTGGAATTGCCTGGCCATGGGGTAATCCAAATGAGCTTTTCTGATGGCAGACTTACGCTCAGAAACTCTGTCGTTTAATCGTCTCTTTGTCCGGCCAATGTAAAAGCAACCACAGGTGCAAGATAAGCGATCCACAACAAATGTGGTATTGCAGTAAATAAAACATTTGATGTCATACAGTACACCTCGTCATACACCTAGTTTTAAAGTCACTGAATTGCTTACATTCCTTTATGTTGGCCCAATGACTGCAAAGGCCACATTTAGAAGTGCCCTTAAGAGCTTCTACAGGGTCTTTTTCGTTATTAGCAGGGAGATGGCTCTTGTACAAGACTATCCCTTAGAGTAGACACACAGAAAGAAAGAAACAAGTTTTGAAACTATTTTTGCATTAAGATAATGTTACTGATGTTATTCAGCCAAAATTAAGAGATGAGTGTGTTTTAGTAATTATGGCAAAGATGAACATGAATAAATGTACTCATACATTTATGGCTTATACATCAAAGAGTTAATGGTTAAATTATAACATCTAAGAACAGAGGTGGGGGGGGGGTGCTGTTCTCAGGGGTACTGTTCAAGGTAGGAATTAAAACACAAGTGTTTAAAGTTGTTACTACTGTATGTGCACTGACTTTACAACATGCTTCATTAAAACAATCCGACCTATTTTAGGATTTTGTGTCCTAGTTCCATTTTTTTTCCTCAGGAATAGAAACATTAGGAGCGAGAAACAACACTGCGTTGTCCTTTATCAGTTTTTATCCCCGTGATTTCCTGTGTTGCTGTTACTTTTACTGTAAGCAACTTCTTGGTTTTACTTTCACAGTTGTCTCCCTGGAGAACATTAACAAACTCTTTTCAGTGTTTTTATTTTTTATTATGTGGTTTATGTTATTGAGAGAGAATTCACCTCTGAGCTTTAGATCAGGATTTTGTCTGGTAACATCTGTATTCTCTAAATAACCAGCTGCATGTTTGCTGTTTGATCAAGGACAAAAACACAGAATTTTACCTTCAGTTTTACCATAGCTATATAGTCGAGGGTGATTGCCAGAATGAAAAACTCCACAATGGAACTTCTTCTAATGAATTTTGTTCACTTTCCTGCTATTTGCGGTCATCATAAATGGCTGATGGCAAGTGCGTCACCATTTTTTCTTTCCACTGATTCTGATACCGTAACATGTCGGCCAATATTCAGTACCAGTTTGATTTCAATTTCATTAAAAAATGTGCTTATTGTTATCTTGCAGCTGTGGCCTATGTCACTTACCCTGTATGGCGACATTAAATCTACCCCTAAAAACGACATCCTTGCTTAATATATACTGATGTCTCACAGTTGGGATTTAACAGTGTAAATATCACCAGATTTCTAACCATGGCTGATGGTACATTGTCCACTTGCAACACAATATTGTTGTTTGCTGGCATCTCGTGATAAACTATCTGAAATCTATTCTTTTTAGCTGTTCTAAAACTCTAGCTCAATCTATCATTTCACTTTTAAAGAGCGCTCACAACATTTAATGCAAATAGCAGATTTAGACTGTTCTCTTTACCCAAAATCAATCCACCAAGAAGCAGACGCATGGCAACGGTCACTAGGAAAAATTCAGCTTTGTGGTGCCGGTTGGCCAAGCGGTTGGGTCTTGCGCCACATGTGCAGAAGCTGCAGGTTATTCCCCATTCTCTCATCTTGATTTCGTTAACTATCCACTCTTTGGCCCGCTTAAATGAATGCGTAAAAAGCCCCGAAATAGATATTAAACGGGAAAAAAACGAAATTGGCTGTTTGAGTTCACACGCAGAACTTTTGGGGAGTTGCACATGTGTATGGGCTACAGTATATTGAGTAAAATCATGGAGGAGATACTTGCCATTTAAAATCTGCAATGTCAGAACAGTGCAACCTGTTGGCTAGACCACTAGGTTTTGGAGCAGTGATGAGCACCTGATTACTGGTAAAACAAGCACATTTTTTAAAGGCTACAACATCTTGATCATCCCAAACCCATAATATCAGCTCATTCTAGCATGCTTGCACATATCAATACCATGTTTATCTGTATCTGTAGCATTTCTTATACTTGTATCTGAGCTACTCTACAGACAGGCTGCTTTAAGGTTCTCGTCATCAATTCTGATCAGAGTCAAACATTACGATGCTCTAAATCCTTTACTGCTGTTAAAAGATCATGTTCACTGTCTGCGCTCTCTGTATGAGAAATAATCTGTCGAGGCTCAGAATTTTACCAAACACGTGATATCGGAGAATATTCACTAAAGTCTGCCCACTCTTAGTTACTGTAATTGCGGGTCCCAACCTGGTGCAATGAAGGCTGCTGCTGGTGAGCATCCAAAACACACAAACCCACACACATACCAGAGCATGTGTGTCTCTCTCTCTCTCCCCCCCACCCCCCCCCCCCCCCCCCCCTTCTTCACAAAACCATAATGTCAGAAATATTTCTTTGGTCTCTTAACACATGATCATTACAGTTTGGTGAGATGGCTGCCTGACTAAGCGTTTTGGAGGCAAGTCCTGACACTGTCTTATCATCTCGTCTGCCAACTGTCTCTGCTCACACTTTGCAATTATATTATAGAACACACAGTGCTGCTCTCTCAAGCCTGGGTTGGGACTTTAGGTATTGACTGGAAGCCCGCACCTATGTCTAATACTCCTTAAAAAGCTGTCATTATCCTACAAAGGATCAGAGACTGAATCACTGCCTTCTGCCAACAACAGAAAAGTAGCTCAATTGTGGAACCACCTTAAAGAGAAGGATTTCAACACTGAATCTAATGTAACCAAGCCTGTGTCACCTTTACCTTCGAAAGTGGAAATTATGTAACTGTTATAAACTTAAATGTAATGTTACAGTAGTGAGTGTAAAAAAGAGTCCTTATTTTAAGAAGGGATTTCAGTCACAAAGCATGATCTCTATTTCAAATATGCAACACATTCGCTATCATGTGCTCATACCAGACAAGTGTGTCAACACATTTACATAAACAGGGAGTCAAACACTGCTTCTGAGTCAAAATGTCAACTCTAACTTTCAGCTCTGTTGACTTTCTAGCGTCTGATACGTTAGGAGATCAACGAGATTAAAAAGTGTACTGCCATCTCAATGTAAAAGTCTCGAGACTGACAGGAAGACAATAAAGAGTGGCAAGAAATGGTGTCATGTGTTTAATAAACTCAAAAACACCTGCAACCCACCTGTGATTCATCAAAACTTGAATTTATGACGCTGTTTGCTCAATGTATAGTTCTACATTTTCATCACTGTTTATCGAGTAACAGTTAACAGAAGTTATTTTCAGCCTTTGTCTGCTCAGAGACAATTAGGTACACGATTCAACACTTTAACAAACACAGCTTTAAGAAAAGTAGTTAAAATGTAGTTAAAAGAAGTTTTCTGCCACACGATTTTGGTTTGTTTGCACATTACGCTCTACTAGTTCAGATGAACCTTACGTCCATGTACTGGGTGGCGCTGCTTGTCAACAGGCAAGGCAGGCAGCTTTTTGAGGTCCCAGACCAGCAGGGGCGGGGCGCCCTGAGGGCTCACAAACTTAAACCAAAGCAGTAGCCCAAAGTGTGCACATTTTGCAATGACAGTAGGAAACCTCTCTAAGGGGGCCCCATCTGACAGCACTCACTCTCGTTGCCCTGCTAAGCGTCGCATGCATTATTGCTGTGAAAACCGAAGTTTGTCGATGGAAGTCAACCAAGAAAAATGAAGAGGAATTTTCCGTCTATAGGAGATAAAAAAGAGAAAGAAGAGTAAGCGTCAGGACACTGATGACTGCTGGTTGAAGGACCCCCCCCTTCCCCAATTGATTTTTGCCTAGGGCCCCAACAGACTCTAGAACCTCCACTGCATGTACTGCAACCAACAAAGACCCCGGGCGGACCCCAGTAAGAGTAGCTGCAGCCAAGGCTAAAAGGGATCCTGTTAAATAATAAACAGCAATAAACAGTGACTTAACTGAAGAAGCAAACTAACTAGTTTCACTTGTTTCAACAAAGAGTTCAGTGTGACTCAAACTTAAGACAGAACTTACTCATACCGGCTGCAACAAGCCACAGAAAATGAAGCAAACTAGGAAACATTGATCATATTTAGTTGAGTCTAAAGGGGGTTATAAATATTCCTAAGGTTCATGTGACCTTGGATAACCCCATTCTCTTAGTTGTTGCTAGTCTTTGTTTACTTCGATATTACTGAGCCTTTTTTTTTTCAAGAAGTGTTTATCTTATTTCTTCTTCAAGCCTGTTTTCCCCCCCAGAATATCAATGCATCATGTTCTGCCTTCAGCAACGACATAAACAGAACATTTTGAGCTGTTGTCTATTAAAGGCCATAAAATGTACGATTACATCACTGTTAGCACCTGTTTTGCTTTGATGCCTAATTCAAGTCTACAGTTGAGTTTTTTTATTTTTGTTTGGAGAAAGCTTCAGAAAGTTTCACGGTGGCTGCTACAGGCGGAGCAGTTTTAGATTGAAGTGAAGAGGATTAGGTGTTTCCCCAAAGGGATCCTCGTTCGCTCCGAAAGACCAGTGCAGCTGTATTCCCGTCTTTAGTGCCACGTGTGAGCTGCCACCTCCGTGCCAGTGTGAAGTCTTTGACTAGCCCAGCTGTGCTTTGGCCTTTTTTTTAGAAAAGGTGCCAGCCAACATCCTTCAGCCCATTACAGAGGTGATGAGCTGTGAGGATGGCCTGCCGCCTTACAGAGACTTAAAGTGATTGTTGCAGATGGAAGAGGTGTTTTTTTTTTTCTTCTCAACTGTGTTAGGATTTCTGTAAAGCTGCCAAAAACCTATTAAGGCACACACAGGTCCCCTCTTACACTATGTGAGAACAAATATCCCCTGTTCTGTTGCTTCAAATGAAAGTCCCTGTGAGATGTGTCACTGTCTCCAGAAGAGACCCTAGCTATCCTGTTCTGACTGACTACCGTCCTTTTTTTTTTTTTTCAAATCAGTCGAAACCAAACATTGAGGCCAGGTTGCTGAAATTGCTTTCTTATCCTCGAAAAAGCCGGTGAGGTTTTTGTCCAAACCAAGTACAAATTGTGGTTTTGTTCATAACTCTCTGGACAAACCTGATGGAGGGGAGACGGATGCCTGACCGTGCGAAGGACTTTTAGAGGACTTAATTCACCTTGGCCAAAGAGAAGCAAACATGCACACACATGTACTTTTACACACAAAAAAACATGTAAAACCCTGTTTTTGGCCGTGTTGGTTGTCATATGTCATTTTCACTCCTCTTTCATTATTCACCAGCCTCTCTTCAGTTCTCTCTGTGTCAATACCATCCACCTGCTGTAATTATGCCCATTTTCTTATCTTGTTTCCTTTTCTTTCCCATGTACGACTAATAAAAACCTGCTCTGCTTCTTCCTCACACACAAAAAAAAAGAACGCCAAATAATTTATAAAGTGTGCCTTCTCTTTCTTTTTTTACTCTGAACACCCGTTTGCATGTTCGCTGTCTCAGTGAGGAGGAATAAGTAGGACAACTTAATAACCATGGTGTATTTTTCTGACTGCGTGTGCTTGTTTCCCTGCAGAGACCTGTGCAGTGAACAATGGCGGCTGTGATAGCACTTGTCATGATTCAGTGACAGGAGTCCGCTGCAGCTGTCCCGTTGGCTTCACTCTGCAGCCAGACCGAAAGACCTGCAAAGGTAAAGCATCATCATTCAAACCGCAACCTGTCCAACCGTCACAAAAATAATCTCCCCCTTGTCGTGGAGCCAGGCACATTGGAGTTCCTTTCTCTGCCTGGAGCTCACAGGAATTATCAAGTTATTTACATTCCCCACCTTCTCTGTTAGCACCTCGACTGTTGGATTGTTTTCTGTATGTGCTGTGCGATCATTGTTTTTTCAACCACAAGTCCTCTTCCAATGTCTGAATCCATACTGGTGCCTCCAATGTAACACCACTCTCTTCTTTTCAGCTGCATATTGTGAGTAATAATTTGTCATGCTACCAGTTTTTTTGACAGTTTTTCCTCTAAATTACCATCATCCTTCTCTCTGAGTGTTGGCAGAGGATTCTCAACTCAAGCAACCCGCATACTGCAGAAAGTTTTCATGTCTAATAAAATCAGCTCCAAACTTTCAGGTAAAACCTGATAATTACATTAGAGAACAAAGGCACAGCTGACAGTCAGTTAGAAGACAACTTTTCGAGTGAATGAGGGCAATCTGTTTTTGCCAGAAAAGCGTGGATAGAAATCTGTGAGTCTTCTACAGCTTGTAATAACACAAAAACAATTCTAATAAAAGTACATTGTCTTCTTTTAGTTTGGTTTGAGAGGAAACAAAGGAGAAAACAAACCCAGGCAGCTCTGGCACAAGAAGACAGAGGCTTGCTGCAGGCCACACACTTCTAAAGAACTGAGACAAAGATGGAGTAAGGAAGGGATTATTATATTCCATTTCTGATCTATTTATTTCAACCAGATGATGAAGAGTCCCTCAAGAGACGGACGCCTCATTTGGTTAGATGATTCTGAATTAATCAGAGCCGCTGCCAGACTTGCAAAAGAGACCATCAAAAGCCAAGATGAACACATGATATATCGATTGGTTATTGTCTGCAGGAATAAAGAGTATAATAATCGGAGGGAGATGGACAAAGATGATTTAGAGGCTGGACTGCCAGGAGGCTTCACTGTGTGAGAGCTGCATCCCATTACAGCCACACGCAAACTGATTTTAGCCTTTGTCAGGGCCAGTAAGAAATCAACTGCCTTTGTTTCTTCTTCTTTTTGTCAAACTTAATAAACCTCATGGACTTTTAACAAAGCCGCTATTAAAATGTATTTATATAAATTAAGATCAAATGACTACTTGTATGTGAAGGATTGTTGATCCTCAGAGAATTTCACCCAACTCTTCAGTTTCCCTTTGGCTCTTCAGAGCATTTCAGCATCTTTCAGCCCATTGTTTTGATCTTCCCATCCCAAAGCCGACTCTTATGGTTCAGTGTTGTTTTCAGCCACCACCAGGCAGCTCTAGAAATCCTGCTGAAGTACTGTTAGTTAGAAACTTGAAGGTAAGCAAAGTGCAACAATTTGCAGCTGAAGAAGCAGAAGAAGTTGGTGAAGACCGAAAAAGGAGCAAAATGTGTCCACCTAGCATTATCTTCTGAGCACCAGCATCTTTTTTTCAATTGATTTCAATGAGGAGAGACCGTTTGCAGTAGCACCCAGACAGTTCAAAATGTTTAAGCTGTTCAGAAGCTGTTCCTTCATTTGAAAAAAATATATAAATGTATAATAAAATACAACGGGGCAGTGTCAGTCATACAGCAGCCAATATCAAGAGACCTTTTCTTCATCCAAGGTCCAGGGTGCACGGCCAGCACTTTTCTGCCCGAAGCAACGCTAAGTGGACACAGGACCTGAATAAACCAAAACACAACTAATGCTAGATGGTGTTTTCAGATCCAACTGTTCTAGAAACAATCTGAGAGGAAGTGTTGACGGGGAAGCGACCCTAACACACCCTTGATGGAGCTCTCAGTCACAACACATTCAAAGCTTTATTTTTCAGGTTGAATTAGCATTAAATAGAAACACTGACGTTTTGTAAGCATGCTTGCAGTCGGTATAGCAGTGCAGCACTCAAAAACAACAAGCTGAAGATCTCTGTTGTCAAAGATGTTTTTTTTGTGATTACATAGGAATTTGTAAAGAGACGTGCAAATTAAAAATGTTGGTCAGTTTAATTAAGGCAACTGTTGGAACCATTTCACAGGTTTTGAAGATTGCGGTTCCCCATCCTGCAGTGATGCATGTATTCAACCATCAACGAGCACTTACATCTTTAAAAAATCACCATATTTTAAGTTTCTCGAGGTTTCTCTTGTGCTGTGAAAGTTCCCCTCTACATGAGCAGCTTTTTGCTTACAAGAAAGATATGGCAGCGTTTTGCTCACAGCTTTTTCCCCCTGCTGCCCCCAAGTGGCCAAAGAAAAAAAAATCCTATATTGCTGCTTTTAATCTCTTTCCTTTTCTTTGTCTGATGAGTGGTTTGATGAGTCAACTCTTCTTGATGATATTCTTCACAGACATCGATGAGTGCAGGCTTAACAACGGTGGATGTGACCACGTGTGCCGAAACACAGTGGGCAGCTTCGAGTGCAGCTGCAAGAAAGGCTACAAGCTGCTGACCAATGAGAGAACTTGTCAAGGTATGTTGCGGTGTTTTCTACCTCTTGCCGTTAGGGTAAAACAAGTTTGGGTGTTTTTGCATTGATATGCAGCAATGGTAAACCAAAAACCTCCACCTAGTTGCAAATAAATCTACTCCCCTCCAGCCTACAGAGAAGCCAGACCAGTTCTCTCTGGCTTGTTTGTCTGGTATATTTGGTAGTGGTCATAGCTCAGCAGGAGTTTGGAAGTTAACCTGCAGAAGAAAATCAAGACTTGTACGTGGCTGAACACAGGTGTGAAGAATTAGAGCGCTAACTTTTGAAACCTTTTCATGTTGGATGAATCAAGCCACTAAAGAAACATCTGGTGAAGGACGAGAGGCAGACTAGAACTGTGGAGTCTGCGAGTGGAAAAACAGATGAACATGCTATTATTTAATTCTCTCCTCTTTACTGATGTGGTCAATCAATATCCAGCATGGTACACATCAATGTCATGCAATGGGGTTTACAATTGTTGCACTGAATTACACCAGTCTGCAAACAGCAAACAAACATCTCATGTGGTCAAAGAAAGTATACACTTAGACGCTGGGCTTTGCAGCCACTTTACTTCCAATCTATTTTTGGTGGGATGCCTTTCTGTCATTATTTGGAGCCAAACAATGCAAAGTTTATTTAGCCAAAACAATACAGATAACTGAGAAAATGTGGTCTGTGCATGTAGGAATGTAAATCAGAGCTTGTTTTCTGTGGCACCATGCCTTAGCCAACTCAGCCTTGTGCTGTTTGGGTGCACGGGGGAAACATTGGAACAGTGATATCCTTGTTTGGTGCTGTGTGTTTTGTCTGGAGAGAGAGGGCTGTGATAAAGCTCACCTCCTGTTCACTGAGGTTTTGCCAGGCTCACACACACACTACTGAGTCACCTGTCTGCTCCTCATCCTCTCCTCTCATTCTTGCCATGTTTCTCACCCATAGAACCAAAGCAATGTAAAATACATCTTACTATTATAATTTCCTGTGTTTTGTCAGCGAGCCAAGGTACAAGAGATGCGAATAAGCTGCTCGCTGACTCCATTGCAATAACTTTTAATTGTGCGCTGTCCCAGTTCTACTTTAAACTACAACAAACAATAAAGGCTAATCTTGATCCTTGTATCTGTGTATATAATCCATGATTAAAGACCCCTCCAGGGATCTAATGTTACACTTCCTTAAAGTTGAGAGACTCAGAAGAGAAGTTGAACAAATGACGGTCAAATTCAAAGACGCAGAGGCTGAAAATTAAGGATTTTAAAAATGAAATACCTTTCAGGGAAGGATGAATATAGACTATTTGAGGGTCCTTTGCATGTGTCTTCTTGGGAAAATTCAGTAAAATCCAGTGAAATGATATGATACTATGTCATACAGTACTATGGTATGTTAGGATACCTTCCGTTCAAATTGAAGATAGGTTTCTATTATTTTATGTTTTATTAAAAATAAAATATATATATGTTATTATAAAATATTTTACATTCCACACACCCAGTTTATAAGCAGGTATTAAGAAATGTAACTCCCCATGCTCCGATCAGACATGACTTCTTATTAAATGCTAATTTTTCAGTGTCAAATCTGAACCCCTTTAAATGCCCCAGACTTAACAGTGTGTTGCAGAGGTATGATTTGAGTGAATAAAAAAAAAAAAGATCTCATCATGCATCTCATCAAGTTAGGGTGAGCTGAAGCGAATGTTTTGTTACTAATTGTCTGTGCTCGCTGTTGTATTGATGTGTTTCAGTAACACTTAGACAGATGTTTGCTGTCTCCTCGAGGTGTTGAGATGTGTAAACTGAACTCTGGGTTTATCTTGGTTTAAACAGTCATGGTGTTTCCCTGCTGTCAGTGGACCATGGCCCAGAATTCAGGATGGGGCATGCCTGCTGAGCCCCTGTCGGCATTCCTCCACCCACAACACCCTTCTTTTTATCTCCTCCTCACTCCTAATCCACATGAGGGCACTCAGAGGGAGATGCTCATCAGATTGTATGTTTTCTCCAGAGGGAACATGTATGAGAGAGCTTCTACTAGTTCTGTATAAACAGCAGTGAGCTTCTTTTTTTTAAGCTTCAGTGAGCCTCATTTTCCCCCCGAATGTTTTTTATTTAGCAAGAAGAGGCTGAAGTGATACATGGAGTTCTTACACCCAGATCAGTCTGTGCAGTAGATAATCAAAGAAAAGCAATAATTGATGGAAACAGATTTGTGGTTATCTTAGTCCTCATTTTATCTTTCCATGGTCCTCTGCACGTACATCACCTGATGATGCCCACCCACTGCATACTTCACCGTAGCCGTCTGGTAAATAAGGGTTGGATGTCTTCACACTTCAACTCTGTAGCTTGGCACAGCAATAAAGAAAATAATGACAAGTTGCAGATCGACTTCTGGCGTCACTTATTGCAACATTTTTTGAGGTCTAAACTCAAAGTCTCCCCGCCAAATTACCATACGGTTTTCAGACTGTTCCCTTAAAAGTGTTCTGAGAAAAGTTTGGACTTAATGTGCTGAAAACAATCACTTTTGCAATGCATCATACAGCATGTGCGAAAACCCACGCTGCTCTCATCTAGCACTGCTGGTAAGAATCTCCAGGGGCCGACATGGGAGACAAACAACAGGAGAACGTGTGTTTGTTCCCGTTCAGGCTTTAAATAGAACCATAGAATCAGATTCTTAAAGATGATCGTATTTCATTCATTTTCAACCTGAATGTTTCTGCAATAGAAACATCTTTTTTATCTTCATGAGGTGAAGTTGAGTGCATCAATCAAACAGTTGAACATCCATCTGTGGATCTTGTTCAAAGCGTGCGTTCTCTGTTGTAAACTGATCACTTAAGAAGCTTTAATCTCGAGACTTTTTCATCTTTTCGACTGATCAGATTTTATTTTCTGCTTCCACAACTAGCTGCCAAGTCTTAACTTCATTTCTGTTTTAGCTGCCTGAGTTTAGCTCATGCAGGATTAAGCTCTGGGTGAACACACATTTTTAATGCTTTACAAAAACGCAGGATTATTAGAAGGCATAAATCCAAGAAACCAAGAAAACATAAATCAGTTTTCTTGGTTTCTTTGAGGTAAGCCATTTATTTAGCTGTGCAATTCCTGTGTCATCTTTTTTCTATGCCGACTTGGCCTTATAACCCAGAGGAGGCTCACATTCAGCAAACCTTTCTCACATTAGCCAATTACACATCCAGCAAAGCTGTAGCACATCCTCATTGTCTCCCAACATGCCGAGCCTGAGCTCCACTGAGATTCTTACTGACATTAAAGGAATCCTTGATCGTAAAACCCCCCAAATGTCATCCATCTCCTAAGCTTCATGTATCAATCTTTATGGTCTTTGAGTGTGTGACATTTACTTTACAGGATGAATGTGTAAGAGAGCAGAAAAGCTCAAAAAGAAAAGAGAGTGAGGCCACTGACAGCCAGGAAGGAGCTGCTTTTAATGTGGATTTGTACGTTTGACGAGAGAAAAGGAGCAAAGACAATGACATCACCTTTCTGTCTATCATACATCTAAAAAATGTTTGTTATTACTCGAACCAAATTTTGAAAACAATGATCCATTTGACCTGAGAACAAAAAACGAGGTATAAGTACTGGTTCATATATGAGAAGAAAAGGGAAGGTGATTGGCAGGTTCTATAGGGAGAGAAAAAACCTGCACTTCAGATCCCATTATCGTATGATGAGCAGACTTTCTTTGACTCCTGCTGAGGCCTCTTGTTATTTCAAAAATACTTTGAAAATTCCATTTTGGCGCATCGAAACTGAAAAACTGCATGACTCCAGGGGTCAAGTGCCACAAAAAAGACTCACACAGAATACGCTTTCCTTTCAAAAGAGACATTTTTTATTTATTTTTTTGGCTTCAACATGTGATTTGACCCATTGCAATTCATGGTGGATAATGAATACAATACAGGACAGAAGATGGAAAAGGGGAAATATTGCTATGAAGGAAAGATCAAAGAGTCCTGTTTGAGAAATGAAAAAATATTTTCCTGTTTTTTTTTTTATGTGGAACTGAGAGGTTTTCTAACGGCATGTCTTTCTGTCCTTACAGACATTGATGAGTGCTCTTTTGATCGCGCCTGTGACCACTTTTGTGTCAACTCTGCCGGCAGTTTCCAGTGTCTCTGTCATAAAGGCTACGTCCTCTACGGCCTGGCACACTGTGGAGGTGAGTTGGTACCCCCTCCCCTCCTCTCCCCTCCCCTCCCCTCCCCACAGCCTTGTCTCTTGTGTAATTTTCCTGTCCATCACTCTTTCTCTACATCCCACACCTCTCTGCTAACCATCCATTAGTTGCTTTTATGTTTGGCAGGAGAAATGTAACAACACTCAACACAGATGACTAATTTTGATATAAAGTCCTGCTGACAGCTCACACAAAGGTCTTAACAATATGGAGGGTATTAATGGACTGTTAAACATAGTTTTTAGTTCAAACTAAACAACTTTGACGACTGTAGATAAGTGCTGATTGATTGGTTTCCTTCCTTTCAGGCATTCATTGTTTTAAGCCAGGCTAGCAGCGTTGTTCTAGGAAACGCAAGTCTGTCAGCTATCCAGTCGACCACTTTCTTTAACTATTAAATATATCTCAACAAATGTTGAGTGAGTTTCCCTTTTACTTTGCAAAGACAGAGACTAGAGGATGCAAATATGTACAAGGATTATAGCATATGAATGATGTTATCAATATATATTTTTTTGCTTTTAGATCTATTACGCTAAGAAAGATGCAGCTGTCAAACAAAACAGAACCTCTCTGTGTTTGTACAGTTTGTCTGAATTTGTATGAATGTTTCCTCAGAATAACTTGTTCTAACTTTATGTTTTTTAAACTTGTATTGTCTTGTATCATCATTTTCAGGACTTTTAGCTTTAAATTGTTTTAGTTTATGTCTTAAATTCGAGCATGTTAGCATACTGATGTTAGCATTTAGCTCAAAGCAGCGCTCTGCCTAGCATGACAAAAGAATATAAAGATAAAAACTGACAAAATCCTTGTTTCCTTTTGATCATCTTTCCTCAGCTGACCTCAAAATCTGGAAATCAAAACATACTTAATAAATGAAACCATGGCATAATTTGTGCATGCAACTGCATCCTCATACATGAGATGAATATCATTCAATCAGCTTTATTTCCTATCACAAGGCAGTTTTAAGTTTCTGTGAGTTGATTTCCAAATGGACTGAGATGAGCTGAAACAGGCTGGTGCCTGGCAGGCAGGAAATCAATCTAACAAGTTATGCTCCACTTGGCAGCAATGCAAAGTGAAGACAATTTGTCCTGTAGTTAATGGACTAAAACATGGAAAACAGCAGTAACTTTAAGGTGGAGTATGACCATGTCAGTCAGACATTAGCAGGTACCCACTGTACTCTGGTGTGGAACAGATAGCAGAAACAGCCTTTGGTGTCAGGAGGAGGTGTGTTGGGGCTGGGGGGGCGTCAGATCTGCCTGCCAGGCATCAAGAGGCCCACCACATCAGGGTGTTGCAGCGTCCCTTTGATGGAGTGTGTATCACCAGTAAGAATCTGCTGCTGTTTCCAGCGCCTCAGGGCCTCGCTGAAGTTCTGGGAGACACGGAGCAGACAGTATATGTACTCAAGATACATGGCCTGGCAGTGATTTGCTCAAGTTCTTTTTTTAATCTGTAGTTCGACGGGTCTAATGATCAGCAATGTTGCATCAGAATACAGAAAAAGAAAAGTTACTGAGATTCCTGAGCACTAACGCTTAGGTGTGTGTAATCATGTGCCTTCACAAACATATCACAGTAAGTCACGGCCTCAAGAAGGAGACAAAAAAAAGTGAGGCAAACCATTTTCAAGTTATTGCTCTCTTTCATGTTTTCTTCTGCCCGTCTTCATGTAAAAAAATCTTTCTCACAATGCAAGTGTCCTTTCCAAGAACATATCTTGTCTAATTTAGAGTCCTGTAATGCTGCTGTATTGAATCATATCGTATGGAGCTGTTACAAAGACTGTATAAAAATGATGGATGTAGCCAGTGTGACATCATCAACCTTTAGTTTGAGAGCTACTCTAAAACAGCATTGAGTTCAGCATGTTGGCTGCGGATATCTTGTTTTTTTTAGTGCCAGAAGTGACAGTATTTTCTGGCCTTGTCGTTAGGATGACATGTCAATTACTTGTCATTCATCACTAGCAGCACCCCGTAGTATACCCTGCTTTATCATCCATGTTACCTGAAACAGGACTGTTATTTGAAACGTAAACAACGAGTTGTATTTAGGAAGACATGAATCAGGGGATCGAGACCATAAATACATCAGGAATGTGTTTACTGACATAATATATGATGCGAGATGTAGGTTCATTTTCTCTTATGCTTGCGGTTCAAGAAGTCCAAGACACTTTTGGAAACACAAGACTACTACAGCTACTTCTTATTTATAATCTCTGGGCTGTTTCCATTTCTTTTATGCCTGTGTATTACTAGAATTACACACTCTGTATTTCAGATGGCTGAGGTGCACACACAGGCTGCTATATGAGCTGTCAGGTTCAGGCAATAAAAGCCACAGAATTGGATTTGTAAGGCTTTTACTCTCATGATGGACTGTGATCGGGCCACACTGAGCTGCTGAGAGGAGAGACGATGGTCAGGCGTAAATGACTCTCTATACCTTTTGTTGAGAGAGAGCCGGTGATGAATGATTTCCCCTCGCTTTTCATCACCGCTGTCGGAACTGTTAGATAACCCCTGAGATTTACGGCTCTCCCTGTTGTACTTTCACTCTCTCCAGACCATATAACCAAGGTTGTGTTATTCCCTGTGCGGTTTATCAGCCAAAATATAGCTGCCAAACAATCCAGAAAGCTGTGCTCAGTGTTTAACAATAGACTCACCCTAAACAAACCCAATTAGGTCAGTGACCTGCTGTCAAGCATTGTGCCAAGGCCTGTCGGCATTCCTCCCAAGTAAGAGTATCTCCAGCCATTCTGCTGCTCGGCTACAAAACAAGCAGCTCATTTTTGCTTATCTAGTAAGAAAATAGACCCACAGCAGTCAAGCCTACATACTTTAAGTATTTTTTTTCAATTCTGGTCACTTGATCCAAGCAGCATCAGAAAGTCTTTCTTCTGTTACTGACAAATATTTGTAGACAGAGATCAAAGAAAGGGACAGTTTATCCCTAAAACCACACAAGAGTTTAAGTTGATATCTTAACAGTTCAAGATAATTGGAAAAATACAGATTGTTCTCAGGGAAAATTCCTTTTAAAAACTCAAATTACATTGTTGTTTGGACTTGGAGTCGCCGATGTTGATGAATAGGCACGCAAAAGCGATTCAAATTTGAAGATTTCCACAAGCTCCCTAACCCATCCCTGAATTCCTCGCCATTACATGAAGCAATTGTTGAGTCTAAATGTCAATTTGTCTTTTTTTGTTGTTCTGTCCTTTTTCTTCTCGACTCCTCTTTTCTGTAATTAAAAAAAGACTGATCCGGAGAAAGGTCAGGAAATGTGTACTTGGTAACTTTTCTTATATGGGAGAAACAAAGAATTGAAAAACAACAGTTACTGGCAGGAGCGCGTCTCCTCCACCGCAAAATTCATTGGGCTTCTTTTGTCTTTTTTTAAATTGAGTGCTTTGATCAGAGGATAGGCGTTGAACCGCTCACATTTCCCTGCAGCTCGGGCGCCGCTGATGAAGCTGTCAGCTTCATCAGCGAGTGCAGAGGCAAGCGGAGCGCCTTTATTCAGGGTAAATAATTGAATGAGACGAGGGAGAGCATTGCATATCAGCAGGCCAGATCATCAATCACTGCCATTATCTCGTCTCTCTGTTTCTCTCTCTGCTCGTCCGCAGCCTTCTGCACCCTCATGCATCTGGAGCCCGGATGCTTTTAGAGTCTGTTTTTTTTCTTTTCATAATCAGCATGCGTTTGAAAGGTAATCGTTATTTACTGCTCACCACAAGTCTTTCTCACTGAAGAGCAAGAAACATTTCTGACCATGGAATTGAATGTGGCGACATCAAACCGAGCTTCGTTCATCTTCAATCGTTAATCTTCCCCAGAATGTGTCAGGGTGAAGTGAAATGACCTCTGAGGAACTCCTCGCTCACAGCTGTGCTACTTCTGAAGAGACCAGTTTTGATATTTCATTTGATGCAACAAAACAACAAAACTGATCCAGACCTTTTTTTCAGACAAACCTCTATGTTGTCCTCTTTTATGAAAATCCTCCTTTTCACCCTGTTTGGATGTTTTTAGAAACTTTTAAACTAAATTAGCACAAATAGTCCTTTTTCATGTTCACTAAATGTCCCTGTTAACATGTTTGTCCTCAGATATTGATGAATGCAGTATAAACCGTGGAGGCTGTAAATATGGCTGCGTAAACAGTCAGGGGAGCTACGATTGTACCTGTCCACCAGGTCACAAGCTGCACTGGAACAGAAAGGACTGTATTGGTATGTGACAGCACTGCCCCCTTGTGGATCCTTTACTCACACACACACACAGGTTTTTAGCTCACTTCTTCAGCTTGTTCTTTTACCACTGAGTGATCGTGTGTGTGTTTTATTCTCCCTCAGAGCTGGTGAAATGTCCTCCAGGACTTTTAGCCCCGAAGGCGACTCTGACCTGCAGCAAAACGGGGAAAAAAGAGAGCTGCTCGCTGACCTGTGCCTCCAAGGCTCACTATCTGGCAGGTACATCACTCATAGTTAATCATCAAACACCAAGGTTCTTTTAATTCATTTTTTTATATGTATTCTTGATGTTTTTTTGCCTCCAGAGTCTGATAACAGCTACTCTGTCAGCTGTGGTATCCCAATCCTCAGAGGGAAGTCCCCCGCCAGGTTCAACTCCAGCAGCAGTCAGAGCTGCATAGGTTCGCTGCCCACCAGATTCCCATAATCAAACACTTATATACACAATCCCGTCTGTCGGTGACAACTGCACGGACAGTTGGATTTCTTTGTTGTGGCAGTGTGCTCGTACCCACTGTGCTGTGTTTGTCTGTAGAGACTTTGGCCCCTCCAGTGAAGCAGACGGCTTCTTTCAAGATTAAAAACGCCAAATGTCACCTGCACCCGAAGCTGACCGGCAGGACGGAGGACAGAGGAAGGACACTCGGGCCAGGTCAGTCCGAATCTGTGTGCCCTGGTGAATACATATGATGTTTGTTACAGGAAATTAAAGGGATATGAAGAGTTAAATAGAGCGGGAACATCCAGTCTAAAGGCCGATTAGTCGATCAATTGAAAACATCGTGTGAAGCTTTTGATTGGTAATAATTTTGTCATTCTTCAAGCTAAATAATTTCACTTTTTAATTTACAAAGCTTATCAAATCTGAAGATTTCTATTTTTGTTTTTTTGTCCTAGAATTTGTATTAATGGATTTTAACACTGGTTGGAGAAAACAAGCAATGGGCATTGTTTTTGGCTTTTTGGGGATTTTGCTGAAACAATATGATGATTAATCCAGTAAACAATGGGGCGCCGGTAGCCTAGTGGTTAAAGCATGTGCCCCATGTACAGAGGCAAAAGCCCTTTAAGCCAGCAGCCTGGGCTCGATCCGCCAAGGTCAATAAGTTTGCTCTCATATGACTACAAATGACTTGTCTGCAACTGTGACTCATACCTTCCAACCTGAACTCTAAAACATCATTATTATTAATGCATAGTGATATGTGTACACTGTATTTTCCCATAGACAATGTGTTACTGTGTTGTCCACAGGAGGTGGGCAGCCGTGCAGTAACTGCCTGGTGACGTTTGTGAACCTCAAATGTGACTCCTCCAAGAAAGCTAAAGGACGGCGAGCACGAAATCCCTCCAACAAAGAGGTGACACGTATCACTTTGGAGCTGGAGGCGGAGGTCAAACCTGGAGACACTACAGGTCAGTCCTTTTTAAACAATACCTCTTGCTCCACATGTTGTGCATTGTTTTTCAGCTCTGTGTTTGTGATTTGAATACGGTACGCTTTTTTTTTTTTTTTTTCACCCACAAACAGGCAGTTGTAATCTCAGCTGCCTGAGACAGCGCATGGAGAAGCAGGTGAAGACGTACATCAAGGCTCTGAAGAAGTCCATCAACCAGGAGCGCTTCCTGATCCGAGTCGCTGGGTTGGAATACGAGGTGGCTCAAAAACTTCCCCAAGCTGCTCCCAACCTTGAGAACTGTGGGCCGGGCTGGGAGAGGGAAAGCGGCCGATGTGGTAAGACCGGAGAGCTAGACCTCGACTCGGACCACGATGCCCTACTTTTCTGGGATGTCCACATGCATTGAATATTAGAACCATAAGGACAATCGTAGATTCTATAAAGTCTACGCACAGCCACGCGCTATCATACTCAGCAACACCTCTATGACCACGTTATTAACTTTGAAATCAAAGTTAGTTTTGGAGTTGTGCTGAGAGATTTCTATCAATTAAGGTTTGTTTTTTACTTTGCGAGGACAGAAGTCACTCACAAGTTTTCTGGATTGTTGTGCTTTGACAAATTGCATCAACCAAGAAAACTAAGAATCACAAAAGAGTTCCATATACTGTATATATATATTTTTTGTAAGAAATGTTTCGTCTCTGACCAATGCTGCGTTGGATATTCTCTCAGTTAGATGCTTGTCGGGGTCGTACTACCATGGCGAGCAGGAGCGATGCGTTCAGTGTCCGCCAGGAACTTTCCAGGAGAAGGAGGGGCAGCTGGCCTGCGACCTCTGTCCCGGCACTGACGGCCACGGGCCTGTTGGAGCACGGAACATCTCCTTCTGTGCAGGTAGTGTAAAATGTACAATATGATAGGAAGGATGCTATACGGTATACAGTTCATAACAGGGAATATTCTCGAAAGCTGAAAAGCTGCACAGATGTCCTCATTAAACCCTCTCTTCATGTTTTCCAAATGCTTTCCAGGTCAGTGTCCCACAGGGTATTTCTCCAGTGATGGCTTCAAACCTTGCCAGCCGTGCCCTCAGGGTGCCTACCAGCCAGATTCTGGAAGGACCCTGTGCTTCCCCTGTGGGGGGGGACTGGGCACCAAGAGGGAAGGTGCCAGCTCCTTCCATGACTGTGAAGTCAAAGGTCAGCTTGTGCTTCTCTTAACACAGCCAAGAATGAAAAAAATAGACTCGACTAAAAACATCCTCGACTCAATGTGTTTCTTGATTTCTACCCACAGTTCAGTGTTCTCCAGGTCATTACTACAACACCACAGTGCACCGGTGTATCCGCTGCCCTGTGGGGACCTATCAGACAGAGTTCAGACAGAATTACTGCATCACCTGCCCGGGGAACACCACCACTGACTTTGACGGTGCCACAAGTGTCTCGCAGTGCAAGAGTGAGTATGAAAATGATTGTTTTGGTCTTTGGAGAATTCTTCTTACAATGAGGTATAAATTAATACGTTCTGTTTGCGTGTGTCTAGACAGGCAATGTGGTGGTGAGATGGGCGAATTCATGGGCTACATTGAGTCACCTAACTATCCCGGTAATTATCCTGCTAATGTGGAATGCATTTGGAACATCAACCCGCCCAGCAAGCGCAAAATCCTCATTGTGGTGCCAGAGATTTTCCTACCCTCTGAGGATGAGTGTGGAGACGTGCTGGTTATGAGGAAGAACTGTGAGTTTTTGCACCTTTCAAAGGTTCAATAAAAGCTGTATACCTGTATACCTGATTAGTCACCATTGTCCTCTCTGTGCACCTGTAAGGGTCGGCTACATCCATCACCACCTACGAGACGTGTCAGACATACGAGCGGCCCATCGCCTTCACAGCTCGCTCCAGGCGGCTCTGGATTAACTTCAAGTCCAATGAAGCCAACAGTGCCCGGGGCTTTCAGATCCCCTATGTCACTTATGATGGTATGAAGCTCATTTATAACAGCTGTATTTTTTTCTTGAAGCATTTTGTCTATGAAATGATTTTTTTGCTCACTGAGATATTCTGTAAATGTAAATTCTTAGAGTTTCAATACACATATATATTTTTATCGCTTCACTTAATGGTTAACTAATAATGCCGATAGTCTTTGCTTTCATTTGTGTAGATTTTGAGGTACCCATGTTGGACATTTCATCACAACAAGACAAAGCAATAGTTTTTTAATTTGTGATGCTCATAACTAAAGTAAGGCCAATACCACTTACAGATACTGACATTTTGAAATCCTAAATATTGTTATATTTATATATATCCATATACTTGACCTGTTTTATAGAGCTAATAAAAAGTTGATATCTTTATTGCTGAAGCACTTTTCAAAAGCCAGTCAAAAGATGCATGTAAAATGTGAATTGTTATGTTGTGAGTTAAATGTTTGAAATAGAGAGTTATTTTATTAGAAAATAAAAAAATACAATAGAGGCAAAGAATGAAAGTAGAAAAATAATGTGTTTTTAGTAGAGATCTAAAAGAAGATAAAGAGCTGGACTGCTCGATCTTCCCTGTTTTTTTTTTTTTTAAATCAACTTTAGAAGTCCTAAGAGACCTGCATGTACCAGAAGATCTCAGCTAATGTAGGTTCAGAAAAATAATTGGATCTCTGTTAGACAATTGACAGAAAATAGATAAATAGCATAGTGCCCTCTGGTGGAATAACTATGTAATTGTTCAAGTTTCTAGCTCCCACTACAGTCTATGCTTCATACATACACAGAGATAAATTGTTTTTCATCAGATGACATACCGTTACACTGCATTAAGACACTACAATAAGCTGAGGCTGGTCTGTTGAGTTATTGGTGTATACTAAAGAGTGTCCTGGTTACAACTTTTTCCACATAGTAGGCTGTTAGGGTGTTCACCTAATAGAGATAACGTTGACATTTCCTGTTTAGAACGCACCCTGATGAGATTTCCGGTCATTTTACCTTTTCTTTTTTTTTTTTTTAAACATTCAGAGGACTATGAGCAGCTGGTGGAGGACATTGTCCGAGATGGAAGACTCTATGCCTCTGAAAACCATCAAGAAATCCTAAAGGTGAGGCTGTTTTATTCTTGCACCAGTTTGTACTTTGTTTATTGGCGGTACGTAAGATCACCTGACTGAGTTCAGCAATAAGCCAGGCGGCTGTGGCTCAGTGGTAGAGTCGATTCCCCAGCTTCTGCAGCCACATGGCCTTTGGCATCAACCCCACGCTAAACCCAAAGTTGCTACCACTGCTTCATCTGCGGTGCATGAATGTGTATGAATGAGATTAGTTAATGATGGTCACTTTACATAGCTGCCTCTGCCATCAGGGTGTGAATGTGTAGGTGTGACCTGCAGCTTTAAATAGTCAGAAGACTAGAAAAGATACAAGCTCAAGTCCATTTATCAGTTAACCAATATTACAATGGTACATTAATAATTAAAAGTTTGTGTTAATTCAGGCATATTGCTTATGTGTCAGTTGTTTCCATTGTTGTGTTAAAGCTTCAGAAATACTCAAACATTTACTAAGGATGAAAAAAGTGAGATGCTTGGAGTTCAAACTTGTTTTTTCTTTCTCTTTTTACAGGATAAAAAACTGATTAAGACTCTTTTTGACGTGCTGGCTCACCCAAACAACTACTTTAAGTACACCACTCGGGAGTCCAACGAGATGCTTCCTCGCTCCTTCATCCGTCTCATAAGCAGCAAAGTCTCCGCCTTCCTGCGACCTTACAAGTAACGCTCACACAGCTGCTGTTGAAGCACCAGATTTTGTGTGTGTGTGTGCGTGTGTGTTTGTGTGTGTGTGTGCGTGTGTGTGTGTCCCCTCCCTTCCCTGACATTCCTCTCAGCCACCCCCATATACCCTCCAGATTTCATCCCGAAACTCTCACAGGACTTCAAAAAATGTCACATTTACCTTCTTTTATATTTCCATAGGCTTTGACAATAAACACTATGCAGGCCTGAGAAATACTGAAAATCATATGTGCTTTTAGGTTATCAGTTTTTATTCAGCGCGGGTCTGCAGCTCAAACACTTGGCAGGGATGTAGAGTTTTTGAGTGGGCTTGCCTTGTGCAATGAAACCACAACAAAAAATAAACAAAAGAAACGCCCATTCCAGGCGGTAGGAGTGGTGTTTTGTGCGTGCAGCCTGATACAGCTTGTTATTGTATTCGTCTAAATGAGCAGTCTGAGTTCCAGCCTGACTCCTACCATTTTGAATGACTGTGTGTGTTGTGTAAGTGTTGTGTAACCCTGGTTCCATCCTCTACATTTGTGTGCTGTCCTCGAGGAGGAGCAGTTGTTAGATTAATGTCGCAGCTGCTATCCACATCAGTCAAAGCCTTACTATATTTGAGCTCTTAGAGCCGTTTCCAGGGGTTTTACTGTTAAAACAGTTACTCTTTGTCTTGCTCCGTCTGTCTAGACTGTACCAGCGTTTTCCGACATACAGATAATAGCTGTTGCTTGCTGTTCCCCCCCCCCCACAATTTAACATGAAGCAAATACAAAAAAAGGTGGCTTAACATTCCAGGAACATAGTGGACATTTGGGAGATGAATGGAAACCAATAATTGTGGAGCCACAGAAATGAGATAATGTGATGTCTAGTGGAACATGTCTCTAAGAGAGAGAGAGAGAGAGAGAGAGAGAGAGAGAGAGAGAGAAATGTCTTTGAGGGACATTATGTTTGCTGCTTCTTTTAAAAGGTCACTTTAATGTTTCAATCTCATTGTCTTTCTGATGTACTCTACACACTAATAGTCTTTAGGTTCAGAGCATCTTTAGTTCTTAAACACAGTACATTGTTAATCTCATATTGCCTGTCACTGGACATCCAGTTTTATCTTCTTTTTTTCAATCTTGTAAATAATGAAAATAAATTAGACGAGGGTTGAATTTTTGATCCTAATTTTGTTAAGCAGGACCCCCTCCAAACAGAAAATCCCTTTATGCCCCTTATGTCTCACCCGTCTCAATCCCAAGACCCGACACCAGACCCGTTCTGTCCCAATAAAGACAGCTCTTCCAAAGACCGCCTGGGAGGGCGGTTCACTTTGCTTTGTGCACTGAACTAAGAACATGTCATCCTACCTAAGTAGTCTACAAAGTGCAATGTCTGATAATAACACACCTTAGTTTTGGTTACACCCTACTATGACCCACTACAAAGCTTGCAAAATAGATGGGACTCATGGCTCAAAGTTTTAACAGTCATGCTGAGGAAGAGGTCCTTCTCTTATTCAGAGGGAGAAAAAATCTGTCTGTCAAAAAAATAAAGTAACAAAAATTTGGTATGTAGAAAGAATTTGATTTAAAAACAGGGTACATGAGTAAAGTTCAGTGAAAACAATTAGCTTCATGTGGGGATCTGAAAAAAATATAGTTACAAAGAATAGTTTAGTAGTTTGCATATTTCATTTCATGCCGTCAGCTAAATAAGATTAATATCACTCACATCTAGACGGTAAATACTTTGCCCTGGCCGTGAGATAGTAAGCGTAGCACAAAGACTGGAAACAGCGAGCATGGTTCAGTCGTACAGATCGCTAAATCTGCACATTTAAAGCGACACAATCAACAAATTACATCTTGATTGTTTAATCAGAGCAAAAGGTCAAATGTAACTCCAGATGTTGCAGCTTTACTTTAGAGGTTGTCGTGTGTTGCATGCTTGATTGTTTTGTCCCTGCTCAAATGAATTCAAACTGTTATGATTGGTTAATAATACTGGGCTGGGATTGGCTAAGAAAAACAAATGGGTCAACACAAGAATCTGAGCAAGGAAATGATCGAGTATTTCCTTTGTATTGACTTATTTTAACCTGACTCCAGTACATGGTCCATGTTATGAAACGTTTGGTTAGGGTTGGTATGAAAACCATTTGTCAAGTTTACACACAAAAAAAAAAAAGTCACTTTTTACGTGGGATCTGATCTGCGGTCTCTTGGGTGAAATAGAGAAAGGCGTTCTGAAGTCTGAAATAAAAACTTTAAGGCAACGTGTCATCTCAGCACAGTAGAGGAATGAGGGGGAACCCTCACACTATTTCTTGGCTGAGCAAAGTGCCTTTGCTGAGTCTCCTCAGAAGTGACAACAGAAGTACTCTCAGCAAGAATGTAAAAAATTATTTCCCATTATTAAGAGGCTATTCTGTTGAAAGTCATTTTCAGACCCGCCCCCAATTTTTTTAACAACTAGAATCCCGCCTACTTCACCTGTATATCCTCCCAAAACTTCCATTCTGATATTTAATTAAGCTATCAAGGACAATTTATCCCCCCCCCCCTTCCCATGTAAATAAAAACAAGTGATTTGGTACACTTATTACTGTGTACCAAACAGTGTTTTAAAAATCCAGACTAAAGATGGACACCAAAAGGGGGGTCTGACCCTGTTGTCAAACATGTGGGCGATTCTGGGCCAACCACAAAGAATTTAATCCAGATTCAAATCCTCTTTATTCATTTTGCTAACTTCACTCTCAGTTTTAAGTACATCTAATATCATATACAGTATATTCATGCAAACAGGGAGCATCCCAGGGTGCTCATACGGTCCGCCAACCCCCCACCACCAGAATCAGCTTCTGTCCTGCGACCTGTTTATTGTTGTTTTTTTTTTTGTTGCCTTTTAACGAGAGTTTGCTATGATGTATCATAGAGTTGATAATGATATTTGCACTTGAATTGTTATTGCTCATGTAAAGAAAAATGTCTGGATTTTTGTATTGTCTTTTTAAATGAATGGAATTGTTTTTTTTTTTTTCTTATTTTTCTTGTAGCTTGTTTGTTTCATGAAATGCTCACTCACCGTTTAGTCTATAGAGATGATACACATAACATTATTGCCTGTAAGAAAAAGAAAACTGTGTACAGAGGTGAATGAAACAAGTGTGAACTTGTTACTGCCCAAAAACACTTTATCGAAATAAACATACTGTGCTTCAGCTCCATTTGAGGCATACTTTAATGTCTGTGCAATGACTCTATACAGGTTTTAGATATCGAACATGGTGCATTATGAAAAGGTTGTACAAAGTAGAATCATTTCTCACAGAAGGCTGACATGTAGCTTTGCTTAACTTTATGTTTTCATCCTCCGCTGACTGAGTGCAAGCCGTTTAACCAGGTGGAAATGTATATGCTAGGTTCACCTCTCAGCGACTGAATTAGCCCCTGTGTTGAGCATCTGAAATTAAGAAAAATAAATAATATAAATCATTATTTTAAAGGTTTTTTTAACTAAAAAATATACCAGGCAACTCGTACAACAAATACTTACATCTGCGAATGCACTTAGGAAGGGCGGGCAGCCATCGTCCATCAATTCCACAGGTGACAGTTTTCGGACCTGACATGATGTAACCACGGTTACACTCAATGGATAAATTGTCCCTGGGCTGATGCACCTTCTTGTGAGCTCTTGTCCAGAAGGCGCGTGGCACATTCGGAGATGGACATGTTATCTCTGTTAGGAAAAAAGAGCTCCATTTTTTTTTTTTTATTCCAGTCATGTTTAAAATGTGTGTAAAGATTATGAATCATCCTATCAGGTGCCACTAACGGCATTAAGGACCTTTGCATGTCGGAGGGGGGTGACTCCACTTCCCGTCCTTGGTGCACCAGAGCTCCTTTTTTCCGACAAGGATCCCCACCTGACACTGGTAGCTAATCACTGTCCTGTATGTGTACGATGGCTCCATGGGGCCGATCATGTCTGCGTTTTTCACTTGTGGAGGAGCTTCACAATCCACAGCTGGAAAACACACAGTTGTAGCTCAGATTAGAAAGACATTGAATTTAATCTACGAATGAAGCAAAGCTGCGTTCACTGCACCTTCACAGACTGGAACACGTCCATCCCAGCCCTCGCTCATGCAGGTCCTGTGTGCTCGTCCCACCAGATAAAACCTATTATGAAAACAGTTATCAGAGATGAAGAGTGCAAAATCAAATAAGCTTGAATAATAATGTGCAGAATGAGGAATTTGGAGATCTTTCTTACCCCTCATCACACTCAGCTGTAGCAATGTCTCCAAACTGAACTCCTGTGTATGTAAACTGTCCAAATATAATCTCTCCTGCAGAGCCACAGGACTTTCCTTCATGAGGATAAAACACAAGTTGTTAGGGAGCTATTTGACATAGTGTTTTGTATGCATATGCAGTTATTTAAGATGCAAATAAGTCCTTATACATTAAGGCCATTCTGGGGTTTCTAGTAGTGCAAAATGACTGCTGTAGATTTTTACATAAAAAAAAAAATTAAAAAAAATCAATGAAACAGGACAAATTATTTAATTTGGTTTAGTAATCAGTAATGCAGCTTACAGAGAATTCATTTTCAATATCTTTCACTTACGATTTTCCTTTGACAAAGCTTAAAGTAAAAAAATGCTGTACTCTGGATGACTCATCTGTTGGGAATATTAAAGCTCTGAAACTTCAGTGTTTGATTTGAAATAAAAATGCTGTCTCTTAGGTAGCAAACATATGCAATTAATACATTCCAAAGCTAAATGAAATCAGCATTGCCCTGAGGAACTGTAAAGGTAAATAAAAAAATTTAAAGAAGTATTTACGTTCGCATTTGAGCCTCAGAGGCGACCACTTCCCCTCGCTACACCTGCGATATCTGCTTCCACCTGCTTGAGTGTATCCGACATCACACACGTATAACACCTTGTCACCAGAGGAGAAAGATGGCATTGTGATGTATTTGTCGGCAAGGTTTGCGTTGGAGTTCTGATCGGTCACCGGCACACCACATCCACCTGCTGGATAGATTTACAGGAAAGTTAAAAAAAAATTAAAAAAAATAAAAAACGTCTACCACACAACATGATTCAACTAGTTTATCATGAAACCGCAGAATGTGCTATGGAGTTACGCACCTTCTTTTTCAGGTAACTGAGATTTGTCAGGTGACGGCAGACATCGGGGGGGCTCGGGCTGCCACTGGCCTCCAGGACCACAGGTGATCCGCTGAGCGCCATTCAGCTCGAAACCCCGACTGCAAGTGAAGTTTACATTTTCTCCCAGATGGTACACAGCAACATTTCTAATGCTGCTCACAGAATTTTCCACTGCGGGGTTGGAGCAGGTGGCCGCTCCCTCTGAAGACATATACAGGTAACAATCTGGTTAGTACTTTGAGACAGACCTCAAATAACTGACCTTCACCCACAGATGTGTTGCATTATTTCTGAACTAATGGTGTGTTGTTTTTCTTTGGCGATAAAAATGTGTAATATTTTAAAGAGTCAATCTGGATATTTTTAACCGATTTGAGGCAGTCTCCCTCATTCATCACTTATCTATACTGCTTTTCCCGTTCGGGGTCTCGGGGTGCTTGAGCCCAATGGGTTACTGTTGAGGAAATTATTAAGACTTGACTCCACACAATAAGACTCAGTTGACTCAGATGGCTTACGTTGATGAAAGTGTATACACAAGAAGAATACTCATGAGGAGACATGATTCAACATCACACTTCTGTACTCGTGTCTTGCTCAATCACATCTGCAGAACTTTTCGAAAGGCATCGCATATATCCCAAAAGACATTATCATTATCAGGGTCATGTCACATTGACCCACCTAGACTAATCTGTGACATCAATTACACTGGAGCAGACAATAAGTCTACCAAACATCCTTGCAGATATCAGGAAAAACAGTTGACACTCTCTAAGCTGTACTTGGTGTTCTAATAACAACTGAACTCTGTCAGGTCTGACTGACATTAGAGAACAGTGAATAAACCTAATGACATCTGTACATTATAATCTAAATAACTACAGAAATTCCACCACAGTGACAATAGGCAGGGTACACGCTGGACTGTTAGCCACTCAATCACAGGGCTGACATATCGGGGGAGACATCCAGTCACACTCACATTCACACCTACAGGTAATTCAGAGCCACCAATACGTCTAACAAGCATGTCTTTGGACTGTGGGAGGAAGCCACTGTATCACTCGTGTACATTTATTTTTATTTGGATATTTGGTTTTGATTAACTTGAACATAAATAACATAAAAACACATTAACAAAAAAAGCTAAAATATCAGAGTAAACCTGAAAAACAAGATTTACTGAATATTAACCACAAAGCAAACAGAACATGTTCCATTTGGAGTAAGATCGAGTTAACACTTATTTTCGTACCTCGCTAATATCTACACAGCATGAAGCCTTTTTTTTTTTTTTTAACTCCTAGACAATTTTCTCCCAAGTGTGGTGGCCCAGAATGTCCAAAAAGCAGTCGAATTGAAACTAAAGACAGAACACAAATGTGTTGTTATTTCCTTAAGGGCCTCCATAGGTTGAATATATACAGGGTATATCATTTTATTGATTGAAAATACTTTCAATATTTTTTTGGTTGAGGATTCAGCACCCATACAAGTTTAAAAAAAAAAAGAAAAAGAAGAGGGTTAGCATGTTTTTTATTCACTTAAAGCCTCCATACCATAGGGAGGAAATAAAGAAGCCTCACTGTAAATCACTGTATTGCGACACTGAAACTCACAAAGATTCAGTGCTTGGAAAACAATGTGCTGATTGGTTAGTTGATGACTTATGTATCAATAATCCTCAACATCTCACCAGTTTACTTCAAAATCTGACGATCTGATTATGTCACATCTTGGAAAATACCATTGAATAAATAAAAGGGATTAAACGACGTCACATTCAGAGAGGAACTACACATTCTTAATGCAACACCAGCCGCCTACAATCACCTCTGAATGCAGCCACCAAGGTGTGTAGGGATTAATGAATGGGTTTGATGAATGAATGAATGAGTGAGTCAGAATGCTCTGATTGTAATTGTTGCCCACCTTCACACGACGGGAATTCTCCGGTCCAGCCAGACTTCTTGCATGTCATGTAGCCAAGTCCTTTCAGGGTGTAGCTGTGGACATGCAGATGAACAGCACAGTCAGTTAAAAAAAAAAAAAAAAAAAGGACATCTCTCACCAAGGTTGACAGAATTTCTTTCAGGCTTTAACTCACCCCTCGTTGCAGACTGCATAAACTTTCTCCCCGACGACTGAATTCCCCTCGTAATTGAAGTGTCCATTGGGTAGATCCCCAGCATTACCACATGATCTCTCTGATAGAAAGCAGATACAGATTAAGTGGCCAATCAGAGCCGTTATCAAGAGAGAGATTTGTTTCACCACATGGAGGACAAAAACATTTACTTTACGATACAGGGTTGAACATTGTAAATACAGTAACCTGCTGCTAAACCTTCTCACTTATCTTATTCATACTTCCAGGGGGCTGGTCTTTTTTTAAAAACAACTCAACTAAAGATAATGTAAAGATCCTCTGCTAGAAGACTCAGATTTGAATAGTCCTCGTCTTCTACATGGTTAGAGATAAGCTTACAGTAGTGTATGAGTGGACGGTAGACATGTCTTTCTGATAAGAGTTTGTGTTAGCCAATGAGGGAATTGGTGATTTTTTTTTTAAAACAGCTCGGGTAACATAGTCGTCAGATCAAGAGATGCATTTTAGCAGAATAAAAATTCATGTTAAAGCTAAACTTATGTTCTGTAGTTTGAGTTGGAAAAAAAAGTCAGATGATGAATAAGAACAATCAGCCTTTATGAAGAAAAAAATAAATAAGTGAATCATTTAAAAACAGAAATATTATGTATAATAGACACCAGTGAGAATAAAGGCTTCCAGTTTTCAGACCTGAGATACAATAACAATGACCGAATACTTATCTGGTGACTTTGAAGTTATATAATTTAGTATCAATGCTATTTAAAGACACTTTAGATATTCATGTAACCTCATATACCATTCTAAAATAAACGAATGAATAACATTTTAAAATATTTTACCTGCCTTCCCTTAGAAGTTCGATTTGATTAAGTTGGATGATGTGCTTTAGATTGCTGTTATTTTTGTCATATTGTCTGCCCCTCCCCCCCTAATAATAATCATTACAATAATTACGATTATTATAATGATCAGAATTACAAAAACGACATGAAAAAGGGTGAAGCAGTAGGCCTATATCTGAGAAAAACGACCGTTGTGAAGACAGTAGTGTCAAAAGTCTGTTTTTATTTCATGTTAGAAAATTAAAACATTTTAGAAAATGTTAACCTAATTTAACACGTTAAATTACGTGTTTTGTTTGAAGTTAATGCAAGTTCAATCAGATTTTAAAAGCTATAGAATTAATTCAATGTTTTGTCTTTTATTTTTTTTATTCTAAAGCATATTTGAAGGTATTTCCTGCAGTTTCCTCACAGGTCCACTAAGGGGCACTGTTCTTTAAAAAACTAAATAATAACACGTTGAATGAACTGTAAGGATCTAAAAAAAAACAAAATGTAACCTTCCAGGTCGTTTCAAAGCTAAACGTGACAACTAAAACGTGTTTCTAGTACTTACTTTCGCACTTCAGTGTCAGTTTGGTCCATGATCCATCGACACACTGAACTATCATGTTGCCTTTGTATGGAGTGAAGTCTTCTAAACAGCGATAATAAACCTTCATCATGTGGCTGAACGTCTGTCTGCTGCTGTACGTCTGCTCCAGTCTGGTGTGCGGGTACTCCAAAGGTGCAGGACATTTCTTTGGTACTTGAGCTTTGTGTTTTAAAAAAAAGGTAAACAACCGTCGGTTATATGAAAACAATCACGATCTGAGAAACGTGGATCATCTTTTCTTTCATTATCTTACCTGAAGCAATAACAAACACCAAAAGCAGAATGCTCCCCACGGTGCTCCTCATGTTTGTCGTCTGTGAGTGAACTTATCCTCACAGGAGAATTTAGCAGTGTGAAGCAATTTATAGGAGGAGGCACTGACCTGAGAGCAGCTGATTGAGATTACACTAACACACTGCACAGGGACGAACACACTGCAGAGTACACGCAAAACAGTGAAAAAGAAACAAACACACACACACACACGTTATTAATACATGTGTATGTTTGTGTGTGTACACATACACACAAAAATACATTCATACACATACATTTGCAATTGAACATGTTGCTCATATACATACAAGTCACATGTTAAGTTTTCCTAAAGATGGAAGAGAATCTTTGAGTATCATTCATATTGTTTAAGTCCAACAGAAGAAATATTTAAACAGAATGAAAGTCCTTAAACAACAAACCTTTTCTTCTTGTAGATTAAACTCAAAATTTGATAGGATTAAGACCACACTGTAAAAAAAAAACTAGTTGTTATAACTTAAAAAAGTTAGTGTCCAGGCTGCCTTCAAGTTTTAAGTTAACTGAACTTAAAAAGATAAGTTGAGATAAATGTGTGATTATTCCAAAGAAATCTTTTTTTCTAGTCAAATAAACTTGACAAGTCAGTTGTACTTAAAGCTTTAAGTTAACAAAACTTTTAAGAATTCAATCACAATTCAGTTCCTGTGAAATGATCTAGTTAAGGCAAAAATGGTCTTTCAATTTCTTTTGACTTGAAATCAAAAATTAAAAACACTTCATCAAAAGTTCAATCCACCTAAAATATTGACTTAAATGAATTCATCAATTGAAATTGAATATATATTTCTATTTGTCAACTTAAATCAGTTTAATTCATACATTTTTAGTGATTCTCTTTGCTTTTGTGGAAACTTTCATTTTCCTTTCAAATTAAAAAAAATAAAAAAGGGTATCATCTCTACAGGTTATTCGTTTTATCATAGAAACCAACCAATTTAAGTTCTTCAACCTTTAATAACAGATCAGATCAAATAGCACATCTAAACATTTACAAATGTTTTAACTAAAGTACTCTGCAAATATCTGAAAATTCACAGCAAGAAAACAAGGGCTGAAATGTTGATAAAATAAAAACAAACATATTTGATACCACTTTGCTTTGTGGTTAAGCTGTATTGGAATATGTCTTTGCTGCCTCATCCGTCTTGTATGTTTTTCACTGATGTTTTTCCGACTGCGTTTTAAGCTGGTTTTGGCTGTAAACATTCTAACTGAACTGACTTTGACAGGGAAGTGTACGGAGTGTGGAGTTCTTCATGCTGGACAAAGAGCCGGCTGCAGAGCTGATCGCCACCACAGTGGAGAGCAGTATCCTGCCTCGTGACGAGCTTCTTCAGTATATCAAGGTAAGAAAACACCACTGCTGGAACATTAACCCTTGTGCCCTCCTCAAATGTATTTATATTTTCTGCTGTGAAGTTAAACAACTTCCAACTTCCAACTTGCTCAAAACTACCAAACATTCAATTATTTTCAGGATCGTAAAGCTTTAAATGCTAAGTTATCAGTTGAATGGTGATTAGAGTCTTGGACATGTGAAAGACTAGCAACAAAGTTGATTTGATTGCATTAATATTTTTTATATACCCTCTTGACACCTTCGTGGCCAAAATGCGCGAGATCCGAGATGGGTGTGTCGGAATCATTGTGAATAGGTAGTCCATTTTTGGAAGAATTGTCATTTTAATGGTTGCTATTCTGCCCAGGATGGATAGTGGGAGGTTCATCCAGCGGTGGAGATCGTAATTTACTGGACTGAAAATAAGAGTGATCAACTGACAGCCTGAGGGACACCTTAGTACCTTACTATTAGATGTGTCTGGTGCATAAAGGGATTGTGTGGGATGCCACATCCAATCTGTTACAATTTAATGATAAAAGTAACTTAGAATTTTATGTTATCATGACTTTTTGTTTTTACAGTGCAGAAGAGATTCTATTGGAGGTTATTAGTGGTTTAGGACCAGATTTGAGAAGAATGGGGACACGCCGGACGAAAGCACCACATTTTTAACCCATGCTCTCCAACACCAGAAAGTTAATCTTGGTGTCAAAATATAAATTTTCTGGGTCAAGGGATGCAGTAAAGCTATTAAGCTTGTCGACTGTGTAGGGCTACAGAAGTTGAAAGTGTTGGGCATCTATGGTCATGGGAGTGTGCAGATTTGCTGCCATGTAGTTGAAGGCCTGGGTGACCGCAGGGTAGGAATTCCAAGCCCCCCATGCTGACTTCTTACCCTTCCCACAGAATGCTGGGAAGAGGTGTTGCATTGTTTCATCCTACCAAACTCTAGGAGTATCTCATAAACTGGGATCTGAGTGTGTGTCAGCACTCTCTCGCTTTAGAATAGATTTGTTTGAATGCATTTTCCCTGTATAAAATGATATGTCTCTTGACCCAGTCGACTGTTTAATAACGGATACATTATTCTGATCCACACAGAAAACTGGATGGAGAGTCACAGCCAGGCTTTCTCTGCTGGCTTCTGACTCACTATGACTGTGATTGTGCACGAGAGCAGAGGTGGGCGACAGTCAGATACTTGATTTTAGACAAAACCACAATGTTGACCCCACATTACAATGAAATAAGATATAAGATAAGATATACTTTATTCATCCCAGCAGGGAAATGTAGGTGTTCCAGCAGCCAGCATACATACAAACACACAACACAACACATATATACATATATATCCCACCCATACAAAAAAACATGAGCCCACAATACAGTTTGATATATGATATATGCAACTCAGGCTAAAGTTTAAAAGTTTAAATGTCTTCTGTCCTTACTTAAAGGGGAGTCGTTATAAAGTGCAATTGCAGTAGGTAAAAAAGTATTTTTAAATCTGTCCTTTTTGCAGCCTCCCACTAAAAACACTCTTTTGTTCACACACGAGATTGTGTAAGGGATGCATGTTATTGTCCATGATGTTCAACAGTTTCTGTATCATCCTTCTCCCCATCACCACCTCCAGAGGCTCCACAGCAGTCCCCCAGCACAGAGCCAGCCCTCCTAATCAGCTTGTTAAGCTTTTTAGAGTCACAAGCCCTGACGCTGCTGCCCCAACACACGGCTGCAAAGAAAATGGCACTTGCCACAACAGCCTGATAAAACATGGATAACATTTTGCTACACACATTAAAAGACCTAAGCTTCCTCAAGAAGTAGAGTCTGCTCTGACCCTTCTTGTAGACGGCCTCTGTGTGTGGTGCTTCCAGTCCAGTTTATTGCTCATGTGCACCCCCAAGTATTTATAGCACTCCACCACCTGCACCTCATCCCCAAGGATATAGATGGTGCTTAGCTCAGGCCTGTCCCTCCTAAAGTCCACCACCATTTCCTTGGTCTTTGTTACATTTAACACCAGGTGGTTCTTCCCACTGCATGCAACAAAGTTATCCACCAGCATCCTGTATTCTGTCTCCTCTCCACCACTGATACACCCTACTATCGCAGTATCATCTGAGAACTTCTGTAAGTGACAAGCCTCAGCGTCATACTGGAAGTCTGAGGTGTATAATGTGAAGAGGAAATGATCTGGCTTAACTTCTGAACACCTGTGGTGTTGAGGAAATTATTAAGACTTGACTCCACACAACAAGACTCAGTTGACTCAGATGGCTTACGTTGATGAAAGTGTATACACAAGAAGAATACTCATGAGGAGACATGATTCAACATCACACTTCTGTACTCGTGTCTTGCTCAATCACATCTGCAGAACTTTTCGAAAGGCATCGCATATATCCTAAAAGACATTATCATTATCAGGGTGACATTGACCCACCTAGACTAATCTGTGACGTCGATTACACTGGAGCAGACAATAAGTCTACCAAACATCCTTGCAGATATCAGGAAAAACAGTTGACACTCTCTAAGCTGTACTTGGTGTTCTAATAACAACTGAACTCTGTCAGGTCTGACTGACATTAGAGAACAGTGAATAAACCTAATGACATCTGTACATTATAATCTAAATAACTACAGAAATTCCACCACATGATGTACTTAGTATTTATATTATTATAGTATTTTTTGTGTATGAAGAGTTTTACTCTCTGACAGTTTATGGAGACTAATGCTGCAGTAGTCTTGTGTAAGAGTAGTCATTGTGATCTGAACCTTAAGGATAACTTGTTCTGGGGTTATCTCATAAAAGTGTTTGTGTTAAACAGCTTTTTATCGTTCAAGGACCATTTCAGGCATCAAAGCAGCTAACAGATCAAATTCTTGTGAAAAAACAAGACTGATTATTTGTTCCTGCTCTGTTTCCGTGGTGACGCACTACTTACTGTTAACGCAAAACACGAAATCACATGAAGGCAACACATTCAAACAATGTAAGATTAATTCACAATGTCTGGTCACAAAGCCAATAAAAACACACATTCTGATTACACAGTTTATCAGAGGGAGTCAGAGTGTGTGTATCAAACACGTTTGCCAGTGTAATTAGATGCATTGTACCGTCATTACAAACAGAACGGGACGATTACTGGCTCCTCTTCTTTGAAAAACGTGACATCTAGCCGAAGATATCTTAACGTGACTGCGACTTACTTTATCGGGACATGAAGTTCAGCAAACAGGAAAGATACTCTCAATGAACTCACACACACACACTTTATCACCACACTTAACAAAATCATTATCAAGGTCAAACAAAGTCAAATCAACCTCATTTACTACATATTAATAACATTGTTTAACACAGTTACATTAAAGCTTTTTCAACACATCCAAAACTTTGCCAAACTTTCATTACATGTGAAACATTATTTTGCATTGAATGCCCAGGCTTAAATGTTTTAAATACTCATACTAATAAGTATTTGATTAACCTTGCAGTCCTTTGAATAAAGGCACTTTTCCAAATGATTAATATATTCCTGATATTATTAAAATCAGTCACGTGGATGGATGTTATCCATACTGATGTTATGAAGGTGTCACTTATCATACAGCTCATTTGGTATAGGTAGGTACTGTAGTTTACTCTCTATAGATATGAACTGCTTTTGAATACTTGAGCACTTTTTGTTAGAAATAAATGCA